GATTTGCTAGAACTCTCTCACCGGATTAAAATTCAACTTAAATATGTCTCTACTGCATGTTTGGGTTTACTCATCATATCCTAATGCAAAGGCCAAGACTACTTTTGAGTCAGATCCTGGTGTGATTCATTTCTCCTGTACCTATAAAAACAGCACCAGGCAGAGGTCACAGAGAAATCCTGTTTATAGGCTGAAAGAGAATGCCACAGGTATTCAGATTAATTAGTGTTACAGTGCACCCATCCTAGGGATACCAGTGGGCTACACAACTTCTTATTTATTTCACCAGATACAGGGGCACAAAAACATCTCAGATGCACCTTTCATTGCCATACAAGATTTCCAGCATCTACGTCCCTACTTGTTGGCTTAATGCCGCTGAGAATTTCAAATACTTCCTTTTGGTGTAACTTCTCTTCATTCCAAAAACCCGAATGGCCACTGCTGGGAGGCATGAACAGGCTTGATGACTGTTTCTCTGTGTCTTTCCTAAGAATTCTCCATAAAGTATGCATCTTGTATATGCACTTTGATAACAAAGACCTCTTCAGACTGAATGCCAATGTCCTCTGGATTTGTTATTGTTAGAAGTCCTTCACTCTGACATACAGGTCAAGGGGAATACTTTCAACAAGGAATGTTGCCACCATTCGTAAGATACCACTTTACAGCAAAATCAAATGATCAGAAGTTTCTGCACTTGACCCTCAATGTGTTTGAATCTAGAAATCAACAAGTTAGGACATAGAGGTGTTTATGTGCTAGGATCTCGCTGGGCGGAACGGTGATGGCGAGCTAGGGCTGACGTGTGATTCAGTGAGCCAAGAACTCCCTGGTTAGTGTCAGCGGAAGACAACCCAAAGTGGGACTGTCTCTATGGTTGTAAGAATCTCTTTTCCAGCTGCTAGTGTACGATGTTTCCACCTGCAGTTTCCAGTTCATTGCAACTGAGGCATGGGGGATAGAGTCACAGAAAGAAGCAACCTTGTCCTTTGCATCAGCAAATGAAATAATCAGGGAAAACTTGACACAGAGGAGTTGAAAATAATGGAATGAGTGTAGGAGGACAGTGGAGCCCTTTGGATCTCGGTCTGAAGTCAGCCGCAATGCTGCTGACTGGTTGTGAAAGTTTTACAGACAGATGAACCTCCCCAAGCCTCAATGACCTCATCTCGAAAATAGTCCTAGCAGTGGCAACCCTTCAGAATTGTTGCAAAAACAAGAGCACACCGAGGACAACATATAGCACCTAATAAACACCCTGGTGATGGCAATTACTGTAAGGGCAATGCAAATAAATAACACATTGACCACTTATTCTCACGTGCCTAAAAGGATCTATTCCCTTGTTCCAATCCAGAGCTATCCTTGAGTAGACAGATGTTTTTAAGGTTAAAATTATACATAAAAATTTAGCAGGTCATGTGAGGATTACAGCTCAAGTTGTATGACGATTTTAAAAATGTATTTGGCTACAATTTAACCTGCTGATTGGAAATAAGGAAATATTTTTAAACGTTAATAGTGAAAATAATGGTGTTGAGTTTTATTTAAATGTGCCAGTGGCTTATGAGATAGAAATCAGTTACAAAGGAAACCAGCATCAAGTATTGATACCAACTGGCAACAAAGTGTCTCCGAGGACTGAGCAGGTTATCACTAAATGTAAGATTATTAGACCCTTGGACAGCCCTCATGGCACTGAGAATAAAACCTCCCAACCCCTCACTGTGGTGGCCTCCCAAGCCCTGATTCATGAGGATGTTACCGCCTGGTTCCTTGAGAAAGTTGAGCTCATTCCTGAGACTCTTCACATGCAGCGTGGAGGTTGCCCTTTCTACCCAAGCACCTCTTTCTCTCCTCTTTCCCTGAGTGTCCCATGGACCTGACCCACTCTGCTTGAAAACGTAGCCTGCCCGCCAAGGCTTTCCACCCAGCTGGGAGTCCTCCACTTTTAATTACCTACTTGCTTCTGTAACTGCTTTTTCATCGTCAGTCACTTTCCTGGGAGGTAGGCTGCAAGCTACCAGACTGCGGTATTTGTTGTGTATATCCAGCCCGTAGTGTCTGGCACATAGTAGGCCCTCAGTAAGTAACTGAATTACAGAATCAGAACATAAAATCAAATAGCTTAAAGAGAAATGAGAGTAAGTGAATAGCTGTGTGTTGAGATAGCTTTAAAACGGAACCTGCTTTAGTGAGATTCAGAGGTTTTTTAAGAAGAAAGGCAGACTAGAGTTGACCAAACTGAGTAGATATTCCTTCAGTTTCAGCCTGTTCAATAAATGTTCACTGTGAAGAGCTAAAGCACTTAAGATCGCCCTCACTTCTCACGTTTGTCGCTGTTCTTGTGCATGCCAGCTGGACTGAAGGTCTTTCTGGTTTATATGTGCCAGCAAGTCAGAAGACACAATGGCTCCTTGGAACCTTTGAATATAAACTCTTCTGCCTGGCTTTCGAAGCTCTAATTGTTTCCCCTTTATTCTGTACATCCAGCATGTTCTACCTATAAATACTCCCACGGTCCCTTCAGGGCAGAGCAAGCTGTGCTCTGTGGATGCAGATGAGAGGTCACTGCAGGTGATCTGACCAAGGTCCTGACCAGTGGGTGGGAAGCGTCAGGACTGCCGAGGGAGGAGCCCATTCCAGGCAGAGGGGACTTGGATAAACACCCATGGCCTGTGGTGCTGTTTGAGTGTATTTCTGAAGGGGCAAGGGGAGGTAGTGTCAAGAAAAGAGTTGGGAAGGATCAGATCAGGACCAGCTTGAGAGACAAGCTCTGGAGAATGGGCTCTTATTTTCTTCCTTCCTTCCCTGACTTCTTTCTTACTTTCTACCCTCCCTCCTTTCCCCCTCCCTGTTTCCTTCCTTCCTTTTTTTCTTCCTCTCTCTTCCTTCCTTCTCTTCTTCCTCCTTCCCTCCCACCCTCCTTCTCTCTTCTTCCTTTTTTAAAATTTTTTTTTAGATTTTTTTTTTTAATGTTTTATGTTTACTTTATTCCTAAATGTCCGAATTCCATCTGGTATCATTTCTCTTCAGCCTCAGGAACTTTATTTAACATTTCCTTTGCTGCTTATTGGACAGTGATTATTTTTAATCTGAAAGTGTTTTTGATTAACTTTCATTTTTTTATAATCAATATTTTTTATTAGGATATCATGGGGTACAGTTAAGGGTTAGGTAAACAGATATGCTTCGTTCAGGCACCCTTGTTGATAAGAGGTGTCTCCCCGTCCCCAGACAGATATTTACTACCGTTAATCCCATCTCTCTTCCCCTCCCCCCCATTATCGCAGCATTGTTCACAATAGCAAGAACCTGGAAACAACCATGCTGTCCATCAAAAGAGGACTGGATTAAAAAAATGTGGTACATATACATGATGGAATACTATGCAGCCATAAAAAAAACAAAATCATGAATTTTTTTTAGATTTTAAGCAACAGTAATTTATTCAAGAGTTTTAATCATGAAAATGGTATGACCTAATGTGTCTTTTAGATATGAAAGATGGAACGATCATCAGACCATATAATACTGAAACAGTTCCATCCCACCTCTTTTAGGCTGCATGACTCTGAGGAAGCTTAATTCTCTCTTCAGCAAAATAGGGATGACATCTATGACTATGAGGGCACCTGTAATTGGGGTTAGCAGTGATCACATACTGTTCTACCCTATTCAAAGCATATTAAAACAAATGATGCTTATTGTGTCTTTTGAATAATGTGTTAGCCTAAAACTTTAGAAAGGCCTAGTTTTAAGACAGTTAGAATCTATTGCACATCAACAGAAGAGAACAAAAGCAGCCCACATATCCTTGACGCTGAATCAAAAATCCCCAGTGGGTTTGAGCTTTTCTGGGGTTCCTTGGGAAGCAAGAGACAATCCCATATACGCCTGTGTAGCCTGAGAAAGGGAACTGGAGAGAAAGGTGGTGTGGGAGAGGCCATGGCTGACCCTGTGATGGACACTTGTGTGTGATTTACAAACTCCAGTGACAGTAACTATAAGAACATCTACCTCGTTTAGTACCAATACTCTAGCATTTGTTTATTTTACTTTATTTATATGACATGGTTTTAAAACGTCTTTGTTTGACTCTTTAGCTGAATTTCCAGTGTGGCTTCTGTGTTCATACCTCTCAGAACACTCAATGTAAGATGTGCATTAAATATTCAAGTAATTGCTTTAGTGTATGGAATGCAGACATAGAGGCTTGAGGTTCAGCATTCCAAAATGAATAATAAAGCTCTTTATTGAAATGGTGAACATGAGTTTCTTATCTTTCTAAAGCTATAAGAATTGTCTAACTTTATTTAAATTTGACAATTCAAAAAACTCCTGAAACATAAACATATTGCCTTTTCAAGACAGGCGTGTAATAACGACAAGTTATTTGATCTAGGATGTCAAAAAGTCTGCATAGGTTGGGTGCGGTGGCTCAAACCTGTAATCCCAGCACTTTGGGAGGCTGAAACAAGAAGATTGCCTGAGTCCAGGGGTTCAAGACCAGTCTGGGAAACTTAGTGAGACCCCATCTCTACGATAAATCAAAAAATTAGCCAGCCAGTTGTGGAGGCACATGCCAGTAGTTTCAGCTATTAGGAAAGCTGAGGTGGAAGGATTACCTGAACCCAGCAGGTTGAGGCTGTGGTAGCCATGAGTGTGCCACTTCACTCCAGCCTGGGAAACAGAATGAGACTCTGATTTGAAAAAAAAAAATCTGCATAAATATGTTTGAAAATTACAGATTATAAAATTGATTTTACCACATAATATATTCCTTTTAGTTTAACAGTGCTATGGCAAATTTTAACAAAACTATGTAGGCTACATACTTGATTAAAGATTATTATACATTTATTTTAGACGTACTTATTGTTTATTGGATACATTTTATTATTTTTCCTCCTTTTTATAACTATTATCTATGTTCTATTCAAATTATTTAGTGTATATTATCAGAAAATAATTATCTTTTCTAAAATTTGTTTTAGGTTTCGAAACTAACATGAACCTAACTAGCCAAGATGATCCTAGTACATCAGAAATTCCTTCAGAGACTCAAGATAGAAATGCAAATAACCATGGAATTCAATTATCTAATTCACTATCTAGTACTATAACTGCTGAAAATGGAAACTCTGTCTCAAACGGTAAGCTTTTTTTTTTTTAACTCAGAAGTAAATGGATAATTTTTAAGCTGTATCAACTTCCTAAGTAAAATGGATTTAAAACATAGCAAAGACACAGGCTTAAGAGCTGGAAAATAGAATATAAACTGTGAAACTTCACTCTGGTGTTATTGTCAGCATATTATTGCTTAAGTGAAACAGTTAGGATTATAATTGCTTATTTGTTGACTTTTCAGAAATTGTATGGAATATTGGTCTATAAAAACCAGTGTAAAATGAATCTTATACTGATCAGGAGGAGAAAATGGACTCTCTACTCATGTTTTTAATTTAAAAAATTATTCTCACCACTAAGAAATATGAAGGAAAATAATATTGAAGAAATAATGAATGGCAAACTGGCTTTAGGTATTTTAAGTGTGTTAATGAGTATATCATTCAGAATCAGTTTGGCTGCGTGTATCCAGAGCTATGTAATAGTGGCCTATACAAATATTTCCTCTCTCACACACACAAAAGAAGACACGGGCATCTGGTAATGGCTGATGGGAGATTCAGACCAACCTTCCCTGGAGAACAGGCAGCTGAGGTAGACAAAACATGTTATTGTTGAATTTGATTGAAGTCGTTGGGGAACTATCAAGGTAGTGAAACACTGAGAAGAGACTGAAGATGTTGGGGCCGGGGTTCCAATGTGAACCCAAGCGAGAAAGCCCGTATTCTAGGCTTGTCTTCTAGGGACATTAAAGACCCCCACATGCTTTGGAGAAAGCACCTAAGGAGCCAAACTGTGCTTCTGATGGCTTTCTAGCATTGTAGGGACATACTCTGCATTTTGGGACCACCAAGACTTTAGGGTAGGACTTTGAAGTGTCTGTTCCAAGAGTCAGGGTGAACCAAAACCGGGAGCCACAGCCTTTCTGTGAATTGCCTGAAGCCCAAAGTTAGAGTGAGATACTCTGGACATAACAGGGCTCACAGGGACCCAAGAAAAATGCTTATGAATCTATCCCTAAGGACAAAAATAGCATCCTAGACTTTAGCATATTCTTATAAGCCACTTTTCCAATACAAAGTCCAACACACAAACAAAAATAACCAGGCATAGAAACCCACGAAATAAAGTTCAAAAAATCACAAGCAGAAGTAGCAGTTAATTGCAATATATCCATAGAGGTTCAAAAGATTGGAGTTCAAAGGCATCTGCCTTAAAATACGTCTGTTTACATATAAAAAATAAAAGAATGAAAGCATCAGCAGAAATGGGAAACCATAAAGAAATTGTCCAATGGAATTTCTGAGATTGAAAAATACAGTAATAAAATGAAGTACTCCAGAGGATGAAGTTAAATTTAATTAGACACAATTGTTAACAAAAACAAACAGAGAACAACTGGGGAAGTGGGAGATAAATCAGAAAATCTTGGCATGAAACAAACCAAAACAAAAGAGAAGAATGGAAATGCCAGACAGTGGCTTAAGATATAAAGATCACAGTGAGAAGGATGACTGGGATCTCAGGAAAAGAAGAAAGAGTGCATGAGCAGAAAAAAAGACTTGGTGAGCAATGTTAGACCCTTTTCCAACACTGACAAAAGAGCATCAAGAAACAAGAAAGAAAGAAAGGAGGGAAGGAAGAAAGAAAGAAAGAAAGAAAGAAAGAAAGAAAGAAAGAAAGAAAGAAAGAAAGAAAGAAAGAAAGGAAGGAAGGAAGGAAGGAAGGAAGGAAAGAAGGAAGGAAGGGAAGGAAGGAAGGAAGGAAGGAAGGAAGGAAGGAAGGAAGGAAGGAAGGAAAGGAAGAAAGAAAGAAAGAGGAAGAAAGAAAGAGGAAGGAAGGAAAGACACTTAAGTTGGCAGTTTTTAAATACAGTTCAACATTACACTTTTCACATGATCCAGTAATCCTACTTGTCAGCATCTACCCAAGAGAAATGCTTATGGTGACTTTATTTATAATAACACAAAACTAGAAATTAATCCAATGTCCTTCAACTGACGACTGGCTTGTATTGGTTCTCCACCACCGGGCAACAATTACCTCCAAAACTTAGAGGCTGATACAACAAGTGGTTCATGATTTCCTAGTTTCTGTGGGTTGGGAAGTCGTGTGCCACTTAGCTGAATGGCTTTCATGGAAGGTCCCTCATGAGATAGCAACCAAGCTGTCAGCCAAGGCCACATTCATCTTGAGATCTGAGTGAGGGCTGATCCATTATCAAGGTCACTCACATGGCTGTTGGCAGGCCACAGGAGATTCTCATCCAAGGCCACTCATATGGGTCTCCCCATGGGACAGCCTCACAGCAGGGCAGAGGCCTCCTTCACAAGCACCCTGGATGGAAGCCACAGTCTTCACATGACGTAATCTGGGAAGTAGCAACCCCTCACTCTCACTTTCGACTGAGTCACTAAATCCAGGCCATGGGCAGGGGTTCCATGAAGGTGAGTGCCCAGAGGTTGGCTCACTGGGGACATCTCACAGGCTGAATTAGACATGAATAAACTGCAATAAGTAAGCGACATCGACTGTTACACTTCAAGTACAAAGGCAGTGGAATGACATATTTACGATGTTCAAACAAAATAACTGCCAACAAAAATTCCTTCAAAAATGAAGGGGAGTTAAGGATATTTTTAGGGGGAGAAAATTGAAAACCAAAATAATTAGATATTGGCAAACTCTGAATGCTCAGAGATACAGGAAAAAACAAAGAACAATGAAAAAGTGAGTTAGGAGGGGGTAAAATAATATTTAATATTATATGCTGATAAATCTAACTTGTTGGCTATAGTCTCAAAGATAACCCCTGAATGAACATTAATGGGGAAGGTAATTTCCAAACTAACAAAGGGAGTGAAATAGAATGTTTAAAAAGTCAGCCCACAAGATGGATAAAGGGTGTGAAATAGGAATATCCCAAAGGTGCAACTAATAGAAAGTTCTTAGATGGTTGATAAAATCACATGTATGAAGGCAAACTTCAATTATACTACACTTTGCAAGGCTCCTTTAGTGAAAATCTACATTAAAGATGATCTATCACTGCAATGTTTTAAAAACTAAAGTTTCTGAAAACATAAAACACAAGGATTCTGAAAGAATAAATGAAAAGAGGTGGAAAAGGAAAAGATATAACATGCAAATATTAAAAAGCAGCAATAGCAATGTTCATGTATTTGAAAGTTAAGGACTGCATCTGAATAATCCGTAGATTCAATAAGAAATCACAATATAAATTTAAAACAAAACACAACATTTAAATAATGACAATGAAAATAAGACAACAGAACTTATGGGGCATGGCTAGTGTCTTTATGAATGGGAATATCTAGCTTTAAACATGTGTACTGAAAGAGAAGAAAGACTGAAAATCAGTATTAAAATATCAAGAAATAATAAATAGAACAAAAATTAAATACCGTGAAAATAGGAGTAAAGATATAATAAAAATTGTAATAACAAAAAGTTATTGAAATAGAAAAACAAATAAGAAAGCAAAAGTTGGTTCTTTGCAAAAATTGATCTTTGAAAACATTAATACAATTTATCATTCCTTTGCAAGTATAATAAAGAAATAAAGAAAATGGGCACAAATAAATTCTAGAGATGAAATGGGGATGTAACCACAAATCTTGCAGAAATTAAAAGTAATAAGAGAATGTTATGAACAGTTTTATGCCAAGATAAATGTGTAAATTTACATGAACACACACATTTCTCAAAAGAAGAACTAACCAAAGTAGAGAAAATAAATAGGAATGCTGTGTAATACTGTAAGTATTAAATTAATTGAATTTGTGATTGAATAACTTCCTAGAAGGAAAACTCTAGACGCACCCAAATTCTCCAGTAAATTTTTACAAAATTCTAAAAGTGAAATAGCGCTAATGTTATACAAACTCTTCCAGAGCATACAGAAGGAGGGGTAAGAAAATAAAATTTGTTCAGGTGGCATCAGTGGCCACTTACTTTATGACAGTATTGACATTGTAGAGCATTGAGGAAGAATAATCAATTGTTATTCATATGGAGAAAAGAGTGAAATGTGACCCTATGTAATGCCACACACAAAGCAATTCCTGCTAATATATAGATCTAGATGTCAAATGGAAAATAGTAAAAATGTATAGTAGAAAATACAGGAGAATTTCTTGTTTACGTCAGAAAGGGAAAGAAAGCAGGATATCTTAAACAGGACACAAAAGAATGCTAATGACAAAGGAAAAAAAACACAGAAATTGGGAGAAAAATAATTTCAGTACATTTACCCAACAAAGGGTCATATTCAGAGTTTACTTAAATGGAAACAAACCAAAAAAGAAAGTGATAGCTGAACAGAGCATTGGATGGGAAACCTCAATAAACATTTAAAGCCAGAAACATTTTTATGGAGTCCAGCCTCATTAGTACTTAGAGAAATGTAGCTTACAACTCCAATGTGATACTATCACATCCTGCAGAGGTACAGACCCAACAGGCAAGGATGGGAGAAGGGATTACCACATGTATGAGGACAGAGATTTCATTCAGAGAAGTAAGAGCCAGTGGTGATTTGGAGAGAAAAGGATGGGAGTGTCTGGAGACTGACAGTGTTGTTTCTTGACTGGGTGGTAGTTACAGTTCCACAACTAAAAATATTAAAACAGAAAAAGAGTAAGAGGGAGGGCACTTCCCTCTACCAAAGTATTTAATTTTTCTGTGTTTTGAGTCAAAAGACAAAAGCTGTGTCTTAGGAAATGATTCCAGGAAACAACACACACGAAAAAACTGAGACTTACTCTCAATATTAAAACAGAACGAGACACCAGGGGAACAAACAAAACCCTCTAGATGATAGTGGAAATGCTAATAAAATATGCTTCATGAAACTGATAATATTAATTAAGTCTTTAGGAATGCCGGGCTTCTAAACTACAGCGTGTAACTAATAGTGTGTACTTCTAAATCCCAGATACAGAGGTATATGTTCTCCCTTAAACGCTTACAGGGACTGAATTTTAAAATAAAGCTGGTTCTGTGA